ATTATGTCGTGTGTAAGACATGAAATTGTCAAACGTGTGTTTGGGTTACCGGATCCTTGTATTTTCTGTAAACATCCGGGTTACCGGATCCTTTTTTCTCCTTTTTATACTTTTCGATCATACATCGTTATAAATACAGGGAAACAATAGGGTTAAGAACGCTAGAATTCGAGGTTTCATCCCAGTTGGAAAAGCAATGCAAATAACTCCATGTGAAGTTTTAAAATCAAAACAAAAATATTTCAAAAGACGACTGAATGGAAAGCCGATAGCATTGCTCTTAGAAATTAAAGAAATTTCACGCAAAGTGTCCTGGATTTGTAGTTTTATGGACTATAGAAGCTGAGAACGTTATATTAAGACGGTTTTAGAACCTCAACATGTCGTTACAGCTGTCGTCGTCTCGTCTGGACATGCTCTATTTGACGTTCATGATCCTAACAATAGCCCTGCAACGTAATTTACATCGGAAAAAGGACCCGTCTTAAGACTTTTATGTCCAAAAGATAAAGGACACCATTTACCTCTGCATGCTTTCCATAATTAATGACGTGTACAAGGACGACAGTTTCCCCTTTCAACAGCCCAATCACAAAAATCCATAGGTGTGTGATCGGTATGTCTTTGTATGGAATAACAAGCATATCTCCAGCTGCTTGAGGTATGCAATGTTTGTACTGATATATCATGGAAGCAGCTTATGTATGCGTCAGTTGTGTCGTTTTTCCACACTGAGCTTCTGGACACGAGGACGACTTTTGCCACTGACATTTGAATTCGTGGATTTTCACCTGCCTGTTAAAAGACACTTACCACGACTAGGTTACGACTTGTTGCAGGATTCTTATTTTATGGTCGTGGCACCCCAAGTCAATCCATATTCTTTGTTTTGCAATGCCATTATGTATTACCACGATTGGATTACGACTTTTTGCAAGATTCTTATTTTATGGTCGTGGTTCCATGTTAATCCATATTATTTTGTTTTTCAATACCATTATGTATTACCACGACTGATTTACGACTTGTTACAGGGTTCTTATTTTATGGTCGTGGCACCCCATGTTAATCCATATGTTTTTGTTTATCAATGCAATTATGTAGAAGAGGTATCCCTATCTTGAATATTTTGTATTATTGATCTGAACACATAACTCGTTTTGATGATCTCAGTGTATGAATATTTTGAACCAGAAAGGGCTGTTACGTGTTCCTCCAGTGAGCGACCAATTTCCAGATACATCACATCACTACTTATGAAATGCCAAGCAAAGTCTATTTGTATTACTGATACATGCTGTCCCACCGTGACTTCATAATAGCTGTAGTTTTCAGGTGAAATAATGACTTTCATATCCAAAATGGCTACCATATTTAACCTTCTTTCATACTTGCATCTTTCTGCTCTTAAGACATCAATTAAGTACTAGTGTTTCTGAGTTGCCCGTGGTGGGCACAACGCTGACAGCCCTGTGGAGCTGTGAGCTAAAACAAACAATTAATAATTATTTTTGTTGTTAAGCACAAAGATATACAATGGGTTATTTGTGTTGTGCTCGCTGCGGGTATCGAAACTCGATTTTTAGCGTCATAAGCTTTCGGACTTATGCAACAGACAATCGTTGTAACGAAATATCAACGTTTCGAGAGAATTTATTTGTTTTCTAAATTAAATTTATCGTAGTTATTTCAGTACAGCATGGCCAGGTGCTCGCGGGTTCGGCTCACCAAACATGCTCGCCCTTTCAGTCGTGGGTGAATCACCCTATTCATTATTAAAGAATAACTCAAGTGCTTTTTTTTTGCCTCGCCTTATTAGACGTTTTAAGATTTTTTATATTTCAATATCCCCCAGTGGCACAGCGGCATGTCTGCGGACTTACAACGCCAGAATCCGGGGTTCGATACCCGTGGTGGTCAGAGCACAGATAGCCCATTGTGTAGCTTTGTGTTTAATTACAAACAAACCGTCATTCTCAGCCCCCTAGTGGCACAGCGGTATGTCTGCGGACTTACAACGCCAGAATCCGGGTTTCGATACCCGTGGTGGGCAGAGCACAGATAGCCCATCGTGTAGCTTTGTGCTAATTTCAAACAAACAAATTCCAATATTCACTGTTGTAACATTTCCGGAGTTTGTGATTGATAAATCATGCGTACTTTGCGAAACGCCATTAATAAGTTATTATATTTTCACCCCAGTTTATTATTTTGTGTGAAACGTGCTTTAATGAATTATTATAATTTATGTGCATATTAATAACAAAAACCAGACACACGACAAAAAAATAACAAATTATGATAATTTATTTTCATCATCATCACTCGGGTATTTAAAAAAAAAAAAACTGAATAAATAATTAAGTGCAACAAAACATATTTGGTTCCAATCTCTCTTAAACAGAATTAATTACCTCTATAAGTCAGTTGAAATACATTATCTTTACGTATAAGATATTGGTGTAGTGACAAGAGACAAGTGTTGCTCTGAAGAGTGCTTTGGAAGTGTTCTTTAAGTGTTCTTTAACAAAACATATTTGGTTCCAATCTCTCTTAAACAGAATTAATTACCTCTATAAGTCAGTTGAAATACATTATCTTTACGTATAAAATATTGGTGTAGTGACAAGAGACAAGTGTTGCTCTGAAGAGTGCTTTGGAAGTGTTCTTTAAGTGTCTTCCATCGTTTACATAACTGTTAACAACATTTGTGAAAAAACAAAACAAAAAAACGTTTATATTTCGAGTGTTTTTCTATCAGGCAACATTTGCAGGCAACATGTACGTAGCCAAACACAATAACATTTTCCTACGAAGTAGTTACTTACCAAACGAAATGTTTTAATTTGTTTTTATCTTTTTTTTAATTTTTTACAGTATTTCTGGTAACTTTTCGAAGCGAAAATTAAAGGTTTTTGTAGATGTCAGTTTAATAAACAAATAATTAAAAAAAAAAAAAAGATGTCGCATCTAAGACCCGCTATTCACAAATTTCACAGACATGCCAGTCCCTTGATTCTTTCGACTCTTATAACACGAGTATGTGAAAAATGCACATATTCCGAAAACAACCCCTAGGAGCAGCATCCCGATTAATAGGGCGGCTAGTCCTCCTGTTGGGAAATGTTAAGCAATTAGAAACCGCATCTATAATTGAAATACCACACAAAATAACCGCAACATTTCAAAACACACACCAGAAAATTCTAAGAAGCGCCACCGCATGGGCGAATCCAAAAAATAGCATAATAGTTGAAATACTACTAGTTTTTTTCCTCCTAGTGGCTCAATGGTAAGTTTTTTCCTAGTGGCTCAACGGTAAGTTTACAATGCTAAAATCTGAAGTTCGATTCCTGTGGTGGACAGAGCACAAATAATCTATTGTGTAGCTTTAAATTTGTCCTCTAAAGCGCATTACTTATAGAATTAGAGCTTGTTAAACTTTAGCCATATGAACATAACACATTAAAACTACAATATAATTAATTTTTTAGCTCTTCTGTGTAACTGTGTAAGTAAGTAATATTGTATTAATTGTTGTTAGTAGGTTAAAGTTAGTAATGTTGTATTAGTTATTGTTAATAGGTTCAGGTTAGTAATATTGTATTAATTATTGTCAGTAGGTTAAAGTTAGTAATATTGTATTAGTTGTTGTCAGTAGGTTAAAGTTTGTAATATTGTATTAC